CCCAGCTAGAGACAATGGGATACTACAAAAAAGTTGTAACAGGTTTCATATACCGATTCCTTATTATACCCTTTATGGTTTTTAAACTGCTGGTGTTTGGCAGAAACAAAAAGAGAAGACCAAAATAACATGAGAAAATTTAAATAATTAAGAAATCTTATAAAATTCTTTATTTTCCATCTCTTTTTGGCAACGAGGAGGAGTGAAGATACTTTAAAAAAATAATTAAGTCATGAAGGTGGCTCCATAGTGTAATGGTTAGTTAGCACATCTGCTTTACATGCAGAAGGTCCTGGGTTTGCGCCCCAGGTGGAGCCACGGACCGTACCCCAAGGGCCCTAGGCACAGGGTGCACACTTGCTGCGAGCCTGTGGGAGGAAATGCCCCGCCTTCAGAGATCCAGTTCTTAAGGGGAAATGCACCATCCATAGGTCAGGAGTGGAAGTAGGGAGGAGGAATTAAAGGCGGGGGCGGGGGGGGGCGGGATGTCATGAAATATACCTAACATAAAATTTATCATCTTAACCATTTTTAAGTGTACAGTTCAGTGGTATTAAATACATTCCTAATATTGTGCAGCTATCACCACCATCCATCTTAATAACTCTTCTCTGAAACTCTGTACCCGTTAAACATCCACCACTCCCTGCAGCCCATGGCAGCCACTATTCTACTTTCTGTCTCTATGATTTTGACTACTCCAAATACCTCATATAAGTGGAATGATACAGTATATGTCTTTTTGTAACTGGCTCATTTTAGTTAGCATAATGCCCTCAGAGTTCATCCATGTTGTAGCATATTGCAGAATTCCCTTCCTTTTTAAGTCTAGATAATATTCCATGGTATGTATATACCATATTTTGCTTATCCATTTGTCTGTGGATAGAAATTTGGGTTGCTTCCATCTTTTGGCTATTGTGAATAATGTTGCTATGAACATGGGTGTACAAAATACCTCTTCAAGACTCTACCTTTAATTATTTATATACCCAGAAATGGTTTTGCTGAATCACATAGTAATTTTTTGAGGAACTGCCATACTATTTCCATAGTGGCTACACTGTTTTACATTCCCACCAACAATGCTCAAGGGTTTTAATTTCTCTGCCTCTTACCAGTCTTTGTTGTTTTCTGTTTTCTTTCTTAGCCATCCTAATGGATTTGAAGTGGTATCTCATTTTGGTTTTGATTTGCATTTCCCTAATGATTAGTGATTTTGAGCATCTTTTTATGTGTTTATTGGCCATTCGTGTATCTTTGGAGAAATATCTATTCAAGTTCTTTGCCTATTTTTTAATCAAGTTTTGTTGTTGTTGTTGAGTTATAGGAGTTCTTTGTAACTTACTAGAAATGATTTGCAAATATGTTCTCCCATTCTGTGGATTGCTTTTTTACTCTTAATTGTGTCCTTTGATGCACAGAAATTTTTAATTTTGACATAGTCTAATTTATTGTCTATTTTTTTTTTTGTCACCTGGACTTTTGGTATTATATCTAAGAAATTGTTGCCAAATCCAATGTCGTTTAGTTATTGCCTTATGTTTTCTTCTAAGAGTTTTATAGTTTTAGCTCTTATGTTTAGGCCTTTGGTCCATTTTGAGTTAAATTTTGCATATAGTGTAAGGTCAGGGTTTAACTTCATTCTTTTGCATATGAGTATCTAGTTTTCCTAACACCATTTGCTGAAAAGACTGTCCTTTCTCATTAAATGGTCTTGGCACTCTTGTGGAAAACCATTTGATCATGAGAGTTTATTCCTGGGCTTTATTTTATTCCATTGGTCTGTATGTCTGTCTTTAGGCCAGTAACACACTGTTTTGATTACTGTAGCTTTTTATTAAGTTTTGAAATCAGGAAGCATGTGACCTTCATCTTTGTCTTTCAAGATTGTTTTGGGTACTTAGAGTTCCTTGAGTTTCCATATGAATTTTAGGATTTTTCTATTTCATCAAAAAACATCGTTGGGACTTTGATTGAAATAGCGTTGAATCTGTAGATCACTTTGAGTAGTATTGACATCTTAATATTACAGGCTATGAACAATAAGGTATCTTTTTATTTATTTATGTTTGTAATTTCTTTAAGCAACACTTTCTTTGTAGTTTTTATTGTATGTCTTTCTTTTTCTTGGTTAAGCTTATTCCTAAGTATTTTATTTCATTGGATGCTATTGTAAATGCAATTGTTTTCTTAATTTTCTTTTCAGATCGTTCATTGTTAATGTATAGAAACACTACTGGTTTTTATATGTTGTCTTTGTATCCTACAACTTTACTGAACGTCTCTATTAATTGTAGTTTTTTTAAAATTATTTTTTAATTTAGTTTCAAGTAGACAGTACATTGGTTAGACATCTATATAGTTCATAAAAACGATCCCCCCAATTGCTCCCTCCCTTCCCTGACCTTCCACCTAGCCAACATATTAATGCTAACTGCATTCCCTATGCCATGCTCCCCATCCCTGTGACCATCAGCTACTAACTTGTTCTTCTTTAACCCTTCATCTCGTTCTCCCAAACAACCCTCCCCTGTCTGTCATCATTGTCCACTATATTTGTGAGTCTGTTTTTGATTAGTTTGTTCTTTTTATTCCTTAGATTCCGCATATAAGTGAAATTATATAGTGTTTATCTTTCTCTGTCTGACTTAAGTACCTTCTAGGTCCATCAAGGCAATATCTTTTTCTATCCCCTTCCTTTTCATACGTAGGAGTCTTGTTTTCTTATCCTTTCAGTCACTCCATCCCTTGGTTGGAGCACTAACTCTTTTCCATTTAAGGTACTTATTGATAGAAATGTAGTTGTTACCATTCTTTATTCCTGTTTTTGATGTTTTTTTCTTCTTAAAGAAGTCCCTCCAACATCTCCTGTAATACTGGCTTGGTGTTGATAAATTCCTTTAGCGTAATTTTGTTTGGGAAGCTCTTTATCTGTCCTTCAACTCTAAATGAAGCTTTGCTGGATAAATTATTCTTGGTTGTATATCCTAGGTCTTCATCCTGTTGAATATCTTTTGCCAAGCCCTCTGTTCTACATAGTTTCTTTTGAGAAATCAGCTGCCATTCTTATGGGTTTTCTCTTACATGTAATTATTTGTTTTTCTCTTGTTGCTTTTAATATTTTTTCTTTGTATTTAATCTTTGGCATTTTAATTATGATGTGTCTTGCTGTGGGCCTCTTTGGATCCCAAATTTTGGAATTCTCTGAGTTTCCTGGGGTTATATGTCCATTTCCTTCACCAGATTAGGGAAGTTTTCCATTATTATTTCTTCAAACAGCTGTTCAACATCTTAATTTCTTCAGTTACACCTATCAGACAAGTATTTGGAGCCTTAATAGTGTCCCATATCCTCGAATTATTTTTATAGTATTGGTGTCTTTTTTCTTGCCATTCTGATTGAGTGTCCTGATTAGCTTTCCTGTCCTCTAGGTAGTGCATTTGATCTCCTTCTTTATTCACTTTGTTTATTCCATTTAATATACTTCTCATCTTGGATAATGTGTTCTTCATTTCAGACTGGTTCCCTT